TTTTTGTCAAGATAGGGAATAAATACTGTGCTTAATAGTTTGATAGCTTGACTTTAGTATCTAAATGTTTAGTTGCATCGTATGTGGGTCTTCATTTGCACTATTTCCACAGATAGTTGAATAGTAAGCCTTAGACTAGAGACCGGTGAAGAGTAATTAAATCACAATCCATTAACTTAACCACATATATTTAACCATCATTAAGTTAACCCAGGGAATCCAAAGAACCACCTGATAACCGCCCTTCGTACCGCACCGGGATCACCTGGAAAGCACCAGCGCAAGCAAATTACCCTGAGGTTCGGCTAAAGTAAAAGAAATCAGAACGGAGGGATACAGGTAAGATGATCTCGCAATCACTGGCTCACATCAGAACCTTCATGAAACATTGAGTCAAGTTGACAGGACACATTACAATTTTTACCTGCAAAAGGTTTGGGCAAATTATTTTTAGATTATATGCAAATCTGTTGTGGCAGTAAGTTGCTTATTTATTTTTGTTATTGTTTTCCCTACAAGAAAACAAGAAAGGAGTGGCGCTAGTATGTGGAAGCGATTGCTGTAGAGCATGCTAGATGTGGCTTAGTGGCATCATCTTCTCATTGAAAAATACCCCAACCTTGTCCTATCTGTAATGGAAATAGAGCATTTCTTTAGTGCCTATAATGGAAAAAAATTACAGCTGTCAGAAATGATAGCCTAGACCACTTTTATAAAGCATTTCCTTAAAGCTGTAAATCACCAGCGTTAGCACAATCTCATAAATTTCCTTCTCGTTCCTTTTCTGTTCTTCTCCCTATTTAAATTTCCCCTCTTCTTTATTTCTTTTTATTGTTCTTCTTGTGAGTGTTTATCCATGCTGTCATTTTGAGTAATACTTCTCATTAAACATTTAAAAATATTCTTCACATTTTGAACACATGAGAACCTCAAAAATTTGGGGTCCTTGTGATATTGTAACTTCTGTTTGGATTTACATGTTTGGGGAAAGGATGCTTTTAGTTCTGACATCTGAGGAAGTTTTCACCAGTATTAAAACACGTGTGATAATACCGATAAGGACTTTTGTTTCAACATAAAAAAAGATAAAAGCAAGAAAACAAAATAACAGCATCCGTGGAGACCATTGGTTTAGGTCAAGTAGAACTCAACTTGTGTGACATTGAATGTTGGCTTAACCTTAAGAGGCCGGAATTTTCTCATCCCGCCAAGTGGGTATAATGATGTTCCTATCTCAGAAAGATGTGAGAATTAAGTAAAATCATCCGTGTAAAGTGCTGAGAACTCTGTGAGCTGCATCTGACCTTCTTTTATAAAATAAAGGAGTACCTTCCTACAGTAGAAAATGCAGGTGGTAGAGAAGCCTAAAACCGTCTTCTTCCCTTGCCTTCACCATCCCCCACTCCACCCAGAGTTTCTCATGTGTCCTGCCCAAAAATTAGTCTGGGAACCAGCATACACACAGTCCTTTCTAAAACTGCACAGAGAGAGCAGACTTCAAACCCTATCTTGTACTTTGGTCACTTGATATTTTATCTCGAATGCCTCTCTCCATGCACACCTCTACATGCCCCTCGTTCTTTATAAACACTGTGTCATGTTCTGTTCTGTAAATGTACTGTGAGTCACATAACGGATCTCTTTTGCAGTTTCTGTTTTTGCAATTATGTTTGTAAGGAAAAGTCCCAGCAGTAGAATTTCTGAATTAGTCTCTGTGTGTTTGTTACTTACATGTATTTTGCTGAACTACCCTCCCAAAACGTTTGCACTGATTTGCTTTATTGGCATCTTAACACTAATTTACTTTATTGGTATTTTATGCATTTGGATAGGGTCTTGGAAACATGTCTGTAACTACATTGTTTGAAATAGATTTTTTAAAAATAGATTTTCAAAACTAACTGTACTGGGGATATGGTTCATGGTTTAGGAGGGTTCATGACTCTTTTTGATAATTCTGGAAACATATGGCCTCCCATCTTGCTGATGTGCACATGCGCACGTTTGGAGGAAGCCCATCTATAGTCGGTTGAACAGTAGCTCCGAAGTTGACCATATCCTCATCCTTGATTTTAGCCTAATGACACGCATCTCCGACTTTTGACATGCCTGACAAAGATACTGAGTTCGTGTTGTGGTAAGCCGCTGTTTGTGGTCAGTTGTTAAAGCAGCAGTTCGAAACTAATACACCATACATGTGTCCCAGATAAAGCTCCAGCTACACGCGAACTTGCTGTATTGGAATATACGAGAGCATAGCTTTAGAAAACGAAATCCTTTAGTACACAAAGCAGTAAAAACTTGAGCTGGCTACTCCACTTCACCTGTCCTACCACAGCATTGCCCCTAAGCATCTCCATGGAGTCCCCAGTGTTCCAAGATACAGCTTAAAAGCTACTCCCTTAGAGGATTCAATAAGCTTTCCTCCATGATTTGAGAGTGTTTATATAAATCATATCTTAAAAACATGTATTTTTCAATTAGTAAGTACTTATTGGCATGTATTTTAGAGTAGGTACTGGGCTAGACTACAGGACACAGCTCTAAACAAGACAGACCTACACAGGTTACACACAGGTTATGCACAGTAATGAAGGTAGCCAACTTCAATGCAATGTGACAATTTTTTTGATGGGGAAAGACTAGGGAGCTGTGTGGATGCACAGAAGAGGTGCTGTCAGTAGTCTGATACAAGGGGTCTCTAGCATATGGGGAAGGGACAAAGAAGCTAAGACCAAGAAGAGTTACCTGGGCAAAGGATGAGCCTGTGTAGCTGCAGAGGAAGGGGTGGGATAAGGATAAGAGACATGGCATGTGGAAAATTGTTCTGGTAGAAGGCACAGCATCTCTAAAGATATAAAAGTGAGAGCGTAGGGTAAATTTGGGAAAGGACAGGTAGTTCAGCATGGCTGAAGCACAGAAAGCCATGGAAAAATGGACGGAAGCGAGGATGAAGCTCTTGTGGGGCCTTGCTGTTACCAGAAAGGTATTTCCACATCAATCTCTTGTCCTGGCAGAGCCATCTCAATAGGTCTAGGGTGGAGGTCCATCCAAATTTAGAAGACTTACCCTGGTCAGAATGTGGGGGACAGAAGAGAAGGCACGACTTTGGAAGCTACGGCAGGCATCAGGGCCAGAGCCATGGTGGTGGTGGGCATAGGCCTAGGAGAGTGACCTGAGATATTTAGGTCACAGGCTCGACAGGGCCTGGTGATGGGTGGATATGTTGGAGATGTGGCAAGAAGAGAGAGGATTGCAGAAAGTTACCCAGATTCCTGGCTTGACGAGGAACCCAGGAGCCTGCCATCCTGTTAGTACTGAATTTGAGGACCAATAAGGTTTCCTCTTGGAGAGGCCTAGTAAACAGGTGCATCAATAGATCTGGAGCCCCAGAAGGTAATTTGGGGGAAAGAGAGAGATTTATGAGTTATTAGCTTATACTTGTTAAGTGTGGAGCAAAGTGAAGGGAGTTAATAAAATCTCCCAGGGAGAAGGTATGGGATGGGAATAAGGTTTAGGACAGGACCCAGAGAACAACAGATCTTAAGCAAGGAACGAAGGAAGAGAAGTCCAGCAAGAGGCTGAAGAGGAGCTGCCAGGGAGGGAGAAGGAAAAGTAACCTGGTGTGAGGAGGTGGTCAGCTGAGCCAACACAATGCTGTGGGGGCACAAGCAAAATTGTCGCTAAAAGTGTCTGTTGATCACACTATGGAGGAAGGTCTAGAGCTCCATTAGACTAGTTCAGTGGTGTGGTGACTGCCATAGGCTGAAAAGTGACTGGGAACCCGGCGCTGGTAGGAAGACATGACATTGTGAACACAGGTAGGAGGAGGAACCTCAGATGAAGGAAGGAAACATGTCCCACTGCAAACAAAAAAAAAAAAAAAAAAGGAAGAAAAGATGGATGCATTTGTGTTTTCATAAAGAGAAAATGTAGGCATGTCTTCAAATATTAGAGAATGATTTTCTGATACCTGCGTGATGAGAAAGAGCGGTTAGACCTCTTGGGTTGTCTCCTAGGACGGAGACAGGATGAGTGAGGAAACAAGGGAGGAGCTTGCTGATAATTGTAGACACTCAAAAAGGAATGCTTCGGTCAGTAAATTGTCAGTTCTTGGTCACCTGTGTCATTGAAGTGGAGACAATAGCTGCTGTGAGAAAGAGTAAAGAATAAAATGGAGGGTAAGGGGAGAGGAGAAGGATTAAGCACATAGTTCTAATATTCTCCTCTACCCTGACCTTCGACTCTGTGACCGCAGCAGCCTACTAGGTACGGTGCGTCGCCTCCCAATTCCTTTGCACTCGAGCACCGGCCAGCTGCAGCAACTCCAGCCTGTAGACTCGGCGTCCAAGTATCGCAGACCTGGGAACCGCCTCCGACGTGTCTGGTCCCCGGGTGGCCGTGACACTGCAGCCTCACCCCTGAATCCTCAGCTCTGCCCGTTACAACTGAGCACCTTCCCATTTGCTGCAGAGCAGGTGCCATGCTCCAGGCACCGTCAGGTGCTGAACGTATGATGGTGAGTGCACGCTCAGGAGGACACAGATTTTGTCTGCAACCAGTTCACGGTGTATTTCCAGCAGGTAAAACAGTACCTGGTGCAACGAGAGTCTCAATGAATATTTGTTCAGAGGATGATAGCGCTGTAGGTTGCTGAGTCTGCGGTGCAAGCGGACGCCGGCCATGGCGAGCACAGGCGGGGGCACCTGTGGGCCCGGGGCTCGATCCAACCAGCGCCTGAGGCCCGCCCGACCCCAAGTCTGCCTGCAAACCTGCTTGCGTTTGCCATTCTCGGCTACCTGTCCGGCGGAGCCGTGTCCTTCTGTCCCACACCCGCGGCTGGGCCCCTTGTCCAGCCAAGCGCTGCACCGTCTCAGCCATCGGGGCCGCTGCTCCCAACTAGAGGGGGGATCACGCCAGCAGCTCGCGGGGCCTACAGGGCATGTGGCATCCCAACCGCACCTTGTCCCCGGAGTCCCCGGTCCTTGTCCCCGGAGCAGCTAGACGAGCCCCCAGATGGCGTCCCCAGGCCTGGCTGCCCTCCCGCCGTGCTGGCTGCCTTGCAGTCCAGGTGGACCCAGGCTGTTCAGGCAAGTTCTCCAGGAACCAGCACCCGGGCTGCCAGCCCGGACCATGCCCTTCTCAGATGCATCACTATGACCAGAAACGTCCCCCCGGGGAGTCAGGGGTAGCTCCGGGGGAAGAGCATCCCTGAGCCCCGGCAGCTTCTTTGCTTTTTTTACATGATTTTGGACAAGTCACTTATATTCTCTGATTCTCTCTCTCGCTTTCCTTTTTAAATTTCCCTCTATTTTTAAAAAGATTTTATTTTTAAATCTCTACACCCAGCATGGTTCATGGGTGCTCAAGCCCACAACCCTGAGACCAAAAGTCACGTGCTCTACTGACTGAGCTACCCAGGCACCCCACAGTTTTCTCTATTTTGACATATCAGATTCACAGAAAAGTCACAAAAATAGTACAAAGCGTTTCCATATACCCCTCGTCTAGGTTCTCTAAATGTCAACAATTTCCAGTGCTTTCCCTTTCCTCAATCTCTGTGTGTACTTGTGTGTGTGCACACCATCCACATCGATTTTTTTCTGAAACAGTCAAGAATACATTGCAGATGCAACGCGCTCCTTCGCAAGAGTACGTTAGCGAATATTTTCTACAAACGAGGAATTCTTTAGTTGGTTTTCAAACAATGAATTCTTTTTTATTATTATTATTATTTATGATAGTCACACAGAGAGAGAGAGAGAGGCAGAGACACAGGCAGAGGGAGAAGCAGGCTCCATGCACCGGGAGCCCAACGTGGGACTTGATCCCGGGTCTCCAGGATCGCGCCCTGGGCCAAAGGCAGGTGCCAAACCGCTGCGCCACCCAGGGTTCCCTAAACAAGGAATTCTTTAATTAGAGTGCAACGATCAGAATCCGGAAGTCAACATCGAACCACTAGTATGATGTAGTCTCCGGACTTTATTGGGGTTTTGTTGATTATCCCAGGAATGTCCCCAGATCATCTTGTTTACTTATTTTTTTAAAAGTGAGGTATAATTGAGACACATCAGGGGAGTCGCTTCAGGTGTACAACATAACGACTCGACACTTGCGTATGTTGTGGAACATTCACCACGTTAACTCTATTTACCATCTGTCGCCCCACACGTTTATAGCATCTTTTTCTTGTGATGAGAACTTTTAAGATTTATTTTCATGGAAGCTTCCACATTTATGATACAATATTATTGACTGTACTTAGCAGGTTGTACATTCATCACGCCTCCATGGCTGACGGAACTCCTAACTGGAAGCCTGAATGTCCTGACCTCCTGCCTCCTGAACACCCCTGCCCTCTGGCAACAGGCAGTCTGTTCTCTGCGTGGTGGCATTGGCTTTGGTTTTGTTGGCTCATTTGTTCTGTTTTTTAGATTCTGCTTAGGAGTGAAATCACATGGTCCTTGTCTTTCTTTGACTTAGTTTCCTCAGCAGAGTGACCTCAAGCCCGTCCATGTGGTCACAAATGGAAAGATCTCATCCTTCGTACAGCTGAGCCACACTTCCTCGTGTATGTGCACCCCATCTTCCTGACCCCTGGCCTCTCGCTGGACCCCGGGATCGCTTCGATGTCTTGGCTCTTGTGTCAGTACAGCAGGAAGCATGGAGTGCGCGGATCTGAAAGTACCGTTTTCGTTTCCTTCAAATAAATGCCCAGACGTGGAATTGCTAGACCATGTGTTATTTCTATTTTGAGTATTTTGAGGAAACCCCATCCTATTTTCCAGAGAGGCCACGTCAATTCACATTCCCATCAACGACACGCGAAGGTTCCCCTCTCTGTGTCCTCACCGACACTTGTTGTTTCTTGTCTTTTTGCTAACAGCCATTCCAGGTGTGAGGTCATAGCTCATTGTGGTTTCGATCTGCATCTCCCTGATGATGAGTGATCTTGAGCATTTTTTCATGTGTCTGTTGGCCATCTGGATGTCTTCTCTGGGAAAATGTCTATTCAGATCCTCTGCCCATTTTTTAATTAAATTGCTTTTTTTAAAAAAAAATATCGAGTTGTATGAGTTCTTTATGTATTTTGAATACTAACCCCTCCCTTGTTAGATATATGATTTGCAGGTATCTTTCCCTATTCGGTAGGTTGCCTTTTTATTTTGTTGATTGTTTCCTCCTCTGTGAAGAAATTTTTTGGTTTGATGTAGTCCCATTTGTTTATTTCTGCTTTTTCTGGAGCCAGATTTGACCAAATATCCTAAGACCAATGTTAAGGAGATTACCCTATGTTTTCTTCCAGGAGGTGTATGGTTTCAGGTCTTACATTCAAATCTTTAATCCATTTTGAGTTAATTTTTGTGTAAAGTGTTAGACAAGGGTCCAGTGTCATTCTTTTGCATGTGACTGTCCAATTTTTTTCAAAACCACTTATTAAAGAGACCATCCTTTCCCTGTTGTATATTCTTGGCTCCTTTGTTGTAAATTAATTGGCATGGGTTTATTAATGCATGGGTTTATTTCTGGGCTTCCTTTTCTGTTCCATTAATCTATGTCTCTGTTTTTATGCCAATACCATACTGTTTAGGTTACCACAGCTTTTTAGTGTAGTTTTAAACCAGCAAGTATGATGCCTTGAGCTTTGTTTGTTTTTTCCTCAGGATTTCTTTCATCATCTTGGATCTACTGTGGTTCCATACAAATTTTAGATTGTTACATTCCTGTGAGAAATACCATTGGAATTTTGATAGGAATTGCATTGAATCTGTAGATCATTTGGGGTAATATCAATGTTTTAGCAATATTAATTCTTTCAGATCATGAGAGTGACATATCTTTCCACTTACGTGTGTTTTCAAATTCTCTCACCAGGGTCTTGTAGGGTACCAGTCTTTCAGTGTACAGGTCTTACACCAGCTTGGTTAAATTTATTCCTGGGTATTTTATTCTTTTTGATGCAATTATAAAGGGAATTGTTTTCTTAAGTTCTCCTTCTGATGGTTCATTGTTAGGGTATAGAAATACAATAGATTTTTGTTTATTTATTTTGTACCCTACAACTTTACTGAATTCATTAATTAGTTCTAACCATTTTTTTTTGGTGAAGTCTTTAGGGTTTTCTAGATTTAAAATCAAGTCTCCACAAAGAGTGATAACTTTACTTCTTACTTTTCGATTTAGATCACTTTTGTTTCTTTTCCCTGCCAAATCACCCACATGATGTCCTTTTCTTAAAGATTTTAATTTTTACTTGTTTGAGAGAGAGAGAATGAGCACAGAGGGAGAGGGAGAAGCAGACTCCCCGCTGAGCAGAGAGCTCAATGCAGGGCTTGACCCAGGACCCTGAGACCATGACCCCAGCTGAAGGCAGGCACTCAACCAACTTAGCCACCCAGGTGCCCCACACATCATGTCTTTTAAATTCCCTTTACTCTGGAAACATTTGTGGGTGTTTCTTTGAATTTTATGAAATTGGCACTTTTGAAAAATATGGCCCAGTTATTTTGTAGGATGTATCTAAACCTTGGGGTTGTCTCTTATAACCTTACGATCAGATTCAGATTGTTTGCTTATGGCAGGAATTCCACAGAAGTGATGCTGGGTTCTCTCTAATGCATCATGAAGGAGGTACATGCTATTAATTAGTCCCATTTCTAGCCTTGTTAACTTGGGTCATTTGTCTAAGGTGGTATCTGCCAGTATTCTCTACTCTATTTCACCCTTTGCAATTAAAGAAAGATCTTGTGGGGGATATCTATTTCTCCTTAAACTAGATGAGTCCATTATTTTTATGAGACAGGCAAATGGCAATTTAAAAATTCCATCAATCCTTCTGGATTTATGAGTTGGCTTTCTCCTATAAGGAAGGAAGAGTTTAGCTTTTTCCCCAGTTTGCTTGCTTGCTTGTCGATTTTACTCATGGAATCTTATTTTATTAATAGTGTATAATCCTTAAATTTACTGTCTTTATTTTGATACTCAAATTGTCCTGGATTTTGACAGTGGGAGCCCCCTCAGGCTGTCTCCTGTGTCTGTTTGATGTCCCCATCCTCTTTTGGTTACTTTCTGACATTTTGGCACCACATTTTAGACTTCCCTTATTCTTTCCCTGATCCAACCTGTAGTTAATTACTTTCCCAGGAAACACTGTTTTCTTTTAGTGAAGAATAGTATTTAGAAAACAAGATCTGGTGCTATTTCTATTGTAGTTTCATTGCTCCTAGTCCTCTTAGAGGACAGAACTGGGAGACACACACACACACATCACACATGGCCATGCACGCTCGGGTCTGTATACCATGTATGCACCCAGTGTGCTTCTACATGCACGTATGCATGCACAGGCCCGAGCATAGCTATATCCATTCAGATCTGTCTATTCCTGTCCCCATGAGTCCACACTCATATCTACAGCTCCAGTCCCACACACCAGGGCTTATTCTCTCATTTCCCTTCTGTAATTATTATTATCATTTACAACAGGGAGAAATCTGGCTTTGACTATCAAAAATATATGTCTGTATTTGTTCAATCCTAGAATATATAAAAAGTAATTTCAGAATGACTAACCTGTGTTTCTGGGGGAAAAAGAAGCCACTCTGGCCACTACTTAGAGTCTAATAGTTTGCATACTTATTTTTACACATGAGGTTTGTTGATATATTTTATTATATTTTATTGAGATTGAGTTTGATTTATAAATTTGCTTACAGGACTGACATTTTCATGATGGTGAGCCTTCCCATCCAAGAATAAGAATGTTTTTCCACTTGTTCAAGTCGACATTTATGTCTTTCAGGAGTGTTTAAAGTTTTGCTCATATCGGTTTTGAATATGTATTGTTAAATATATTCCTGAGTATTTTATCTTCTTTGTTGCTATTGTAAATGAGGTTTTCCTAATAATGTGTTCTCTACCCAATTATCATTTTTATAAATAATTGCTATTGATTTCTATGTGTTAATTTTATAGCCTGCTATATTACTAAGTTCTTTGTTTAAGTTTATCATTAGTTGTCTAGGGTTTTCTGGGTATGAGATAGTAACATCTGCAAATAGAGATAATTTCATTTCTTTTCCAATTCCTATACCTCTGATTTCTCTCATCCAATTGCTTGACTAACATTGCCAGCACAATGTTAATGACAGTGGGAACAGTAGCCAATTTCATGTTGTTCCTCTTCTTTAGTGTTTCCCATTAAGTAAGATGCTGGCTTTGGAACCAAGGAAT